TCAGATATTCCCAGCTTACCTGAAGTATTATCTAAAATTGCAAGAATGAAATGAAAATAAAGAATAACTAAATAGGCAGAGGGATTCCCCTTGTTTTCAGTGGCCTGGGACGCGATGCTCCCTCCCGCGAGCAGAAATTCTACTCTGTGAGCGGTACTGGAGTTAGCCCAAATGTCATCTGTTACCCCGTCAAGCAGCGGAAAGGGGGTCGAGAAATCAACTAACTTCACTCCAGAACTGCAAAGCATGATGTTTTCCTTGGGGGATGCTTGCAGGCCTCTCCATAATTCCGCAGTGCTGGTAGAAGACATTGTCCACACTCAGCTGATTAATTTGCGATGGCTGGCCATGCGTCCAACAGCGCCTCTTCTGATTTAAAGGGCAGGTCAATTCCGGTAATGGCTTTTATTTGGGTGTACACCTTTTGCCAAAAGTCATTAATTACTGGGCATTGCCACCAACAGTGGACATAGTCTGCTACAGACCCGCAATTCTTCCAGCAAAATCTCTCTTAGTGAGCTCAAAGTATCTGTGCAATATCTTTTGTGATATATTAGGAGACGATACTTAGATGTTTTGATATGTGATTCTTTCTATGTATTAAGGCTTATATGATAAACAATATATGGTGAATAAATTGTTATATATATATATATATAAATGAATAACTAAATAAATAAAAATGGAGGATCTAGGATGAATTGTATTTAAACATCGTAAAACTGAGTTTAGACTGGGTTTGCAGGTCCCTAATGATGGGTCAGACGTGGATCACAGGAGTCTAGACAGTGGATTACTGAGGAAACATGCAAATAATGAGAATAATACCTAATATAATGTATCTAAAAGTAATTTCTAGGTTAGAGGGAGGAACCAAAACAAAACCCAGACTTTTTAAAACACACACACACGTGTATATCTATGAATGCCCCTCACAAAAAAAACCTTTCCTCCCTGCATATAGAAAACTAGCTTGTGAGGCAAAATGCCTCAGCCTCTCCCTCTCTTTGACATGCTATTTTTCTATGTAAAAGCAAGATTTTTTTTTTAAAAAAAGATAGGGAAACATTTCCCCTCTAGGGGAGGGCTGTGGAAGAATGTCTTAGGTTCAGTCCCCCGCATCTCCATTTAGAATGACTAGGTAGTAGGTGATGTGAAAGGCCTCCACCTGAGACCCAAAGGAACGGGGAATTAGCAGAAATTACACACATGCCCTCCCACTAGCAGAAAATTTAGTGGGGATCCAAACCTGAGCGAAGAAGAAGAGTTGTCTTTTGCACCCTGCTTTTTACTACCTTAAGGAGACCCAAAGCGGCTTATGATCACCTTCCCTCCCCCCCCCCCACAAGAGGCAACTTGTGAGGCCGGTTGAGCTGAGAGAGTTCTGAGAAAACTGTGACTGGCCAAAGGTCACCCAGCAGGCTTCATGTGGAGGAGGAGCGGGGAATCAAACCCGGTTCTCCAAATTAGAGACTGCCACTCTTAACCACTACACCACGCTGCCAGATTTCTTACTGCAATTGTGTGTGCGTGGGAGAGAGATCCAAGTGGAAAACGTAACAATATTTACCTGGTCGATCACCAGAAATAGAATTTACATTATTTAAAGGAAATTTCGTTAGGAGGAGGAGGCTATATTGGACATTTCACAGTCACAGGTGCTTCACAGTTCCGTGACAATATCTTAGGGTTCCTCTCCAGATATCCCTTCTGTCCTCTGCATGAAATTATTGGTGTGCAAACAGGTTCACTGCTACAACGGCACAGAGGAGAAGGCACGAGGTATCTGGAACTCTCAGGAGGATATCAGCTAGGGTTGCCAGGACTGGGTTGGAAAATACCTGGAGACATTTGGGGTTGAGCCAGGAGAGGGTGGGGTTTGGGGAGGGGAGGGGCCTCAGCATGGTACAGTGCCATAGAATCTACCCTCCAAAGCAGCCATTTTCTCCAGGGGAGTTGCTCTCTGTCAGCTGAAGATCAGCTGTAAAAGTGAGAGATCTCCAGTCACCACCTGGAGGCTGGCAACTCTAATATCAGGACAGGGGCAACAAGAAACAAGTTTCACGTCAGGGGCTGAAATGAGGAATAACAAAGTATATCGGTACAAAACCCTGAAAGATCAGATATACAGACACAGTTAATTTGACTTATACTGTCTGGAGCACATCCAGATTTTCAATTTGTTATACTTCATCTTTCTTGCTGAGACTCAAAGCAGATTACAAAATTTAAGAAACCTTCAAGCAGAGAGCAAAGATAAAATTTAAAATGTTATGGCATAAACCCCATACATTTATCAGCTGTGGTCTGAAAACTACTAGGATTTAACAACAATTCAGCAAACGATGTTAACCACACATAACTTTGGCCCAAACAGGATGCTACAGTAAGAGTGTGGCAGTTGTCAATGAAGTTCTGGTTCCGTTATGTAGGACACCTAATAAACTTTCTGTGCCACCCCAAGCAAACTTATGTCCTTCTAAACCCAGTGGCAGAAACAGAATTATAAGTGTGTACCTCTACTTAGGGATGGCACGATTAGTGTCATAATGTTGCAACAATTTAGAAACACAGAATTCTGTGAGTGGGAGATCATGACACAGAATGGATTCTAGTAGACACAGTGGTGGTGGTGGTGGTGGATAGATATGCAACTGATGCAATGTCTAATTTGGCCTTAATCATGACTAAAGCTATTTAGATACTCCACAGTCCACCTTTCTAGCTGATACTTAAAATGGATTGCAATTTTTTTTTAAAATGCAATACGACTAGTATAATGCAGAAGTGATGTGATAAATTTAATAATGGATTCCACTTCAAAAAGTTTGAGAATTATTGACTTAATGCATAAGTTCCAGGTAGATAATTATGTTGCAGCAACATTTAAAAGAAATCTTCTGGCACTTTTAAGATGCATTGCGGTGGAAGCAATTGTGATGATGAAGTGGAATAAATAAAACCTTATGACACAACAAATCTTTTGACCTGTAGGGTGCCATAAAACAGCTTTGTATTTTGAAAGCATCAATAATACTTAGGGAAAAGGCATGGCCTGGAACCATGTGCAGTCAGTAGTGTATGGTTTTTTCCCCCCCCCCCCCAATTGTCATTCTTAGTGAGAAAATACAGCTTCTGGGAATTTAAAGTGCAAAAGTGAACAGTGGTTCTCTGTTGAGTCATAGGTCATTGAGAGTGACAGTCCATTTTCAGATGCAGGGAGCTAAGTTAAGAAGGCTTCAAGCAGATAATTAAAAGGTAACAGGGAGGGAGAGACAGAAAGAAAAACAACCCCAGATCTAGGTCGAGATGCATACACATACTGCATTAAAATCATGGAAGCAAAGTCAGAGGTAAAACAAGTAAATTGGGGTGGGGAGTAATATTTTCTATTACTTCAACAGACTTAGTCCTATGTGTATATAACCAAAGTAACTGGTTTTAGTAAAAGGCCTGGGAGCATTTCATGCAGTAAAATCACTAAAGTAGGATCATGGCCAAGAGAGCAGAATTAGTCATACCCTGCAAGTTACATTTAAAATTCCCTGGCTTTGACTAATTTTTGCCCTCTTTTTCCAGCAGTCAGTTCCCGAACTGCTTTTCAACAGTAGGCCAATTTGCTTTTCTTCAAGTTTCTGTGCATCATTTCTGTTCTTTGACTGTACTGATGTAAACAAAGTCAACACATGAATGGTGCCAGTTCACCCTGATCATGCATAATGCATCTCTTTACAGCACTTAAAGACTTTCTGTTCTGCCAAACAGATAGATTTGAGCCCAATAGCCCCTTCGAGACCAAGGCTTTCAGTGCTGTTTACTATTTAAAATTCTCTGATGAAAAGGTTAACTTCCTCAAAAACAAAACCACAAAACAGATGAATTCCTTCAGGGCATCTGTCAGCAATCTGTTTGAGAAATTAACCCCTCTTGCCTAAGTTTCCTATATGAAGTGACAATAAAGAATAACTATGAGCATATATAGAGTGCTGCTTTCCTTGCCATATTGAGAAATCCCAACCAAACATTTGGGCTCATGGGGGCTGGTTGGTAAAGCAGGGGACAGGGACTTCAATCTCAGCACCTCAGGACCCCCCACCAACACACCTTTTTAAAAGACAATGTGTGAGTCTAAATGCTCCCTGTAAGCTGTGGAGTCTTGAGAGCAAAAATTCTACTTTGTGAGCTACTGGCATTGAAGTTGTGAGCAAGCGATTTGGCTGCTGCATAAATTAGTTTGCTCTGGAGCCATCCTTCCTGAGCTAAGACAAAGAATGTGTGAGCTGGAGGCTAAAAAACTCCACATAAACTCTTAGACTGAGGGAACACTGGAGTCCAGTGGCACCTTTAAGACCAACAGAGTTTTATTCAAGGTATAAACTTTCGTGTGCACGAACACTTCCTCAGTCACTTCTTCAGTCTTCAGCTCCACAGGCATGTCCCCCAGTTCACCATGCAACAAGTGTCGACATACACGTGTGAACCGACCCAGAGGTACAGTACAGAGCTCTGCACAGAACCTCCAACACGACGGAGCCAGTTCATACATTCAGCTTCCACACGAGCGTAGAGGAAGCCAAGGAAGCGCATGCAACAGGTGAATCGCAAGCGAGTCACCCAGCCAAAGGGTGCGTCCTGGCCTGGCCGGGACCTACACACGCGCCAGAATGAGATGGTAGAATCCCGAGCCAGCCGAATGGTCCATACCACCTCGGACTGAAAGTGCGGTCAGGGGGAGACAACATTTTTGAAGCTGCCTTGTATATGTTGTTAAAGACATCTTCCCACAGGCAGACAACTAGTCCAGCACCAGGAGGACAGAGCTCGAACGACTTCACCGACTTCTTTTAATTACACGGAGGGCACGCGAACGCGCATGCGCTTTTTTTCTTTTAAACGGCACCTCCCCCCCACCTGCAGTGGTAC